CAGTGTGATGTCGCCACTGTTGCCACGCGCAAATGTCTCTAACTTCTTTATCGCGCCGTTTTGAGGGACGAAAGTGGTATGTTCTTTGTGAACGCGTATAACAGTTCAAAAGGCACGGAGTCATTTTGAGGACCACTTGATCGCAGGGAGTGTCTTTAAGTCCTGGTGCAAATAGCGGCGCGCGTGACCCTGCTCTGCCGCAGCATAGACCTCATAAGCGACATAGCGCGCAGCTGACAGAGCTTTGCCGCAATGTGCACCATGAGCGATATAGGAGTCGACCTCCAGAATGTTGTGATGAGAAAATGAGTCTTCCGAATTTGAAGTAAAGACGAACCAAGAAGTCGGCACCTCGGAAGACTTCCACAGTGCTGAGAAACGTAGGTCTTGGTTTCAAGTTCCATCCAACACGGAAAGTATTACCCCAACCCCTTGAAAAAGAGAAATAAGATTATGATTAGACTTACCGAAAGACTGAATCATCAGAGCAAAATCCCTGGCCGTCACGGGATCGATTTGGAGGCAGAGCGTCATGAAAGGGAACGCAATAGCTCCTCCACCCTCTGCAGTCATACCTAGAAACAAAAGTTTATAGTAGTGAGAGTTTATAGTAGTGTTGATAGTAGTGAGACTGACTGGAGTTAATGTAGACTTCAAATCAAAGCGAGTTCGAGACGGACGGGCTAGTTTTGGCACAGTGCTAGCCCATTCTCCACCAATTGTTGGAGCAAGCAAGCGACAGCGATTGGCGGAAACACTGGCTGGAGCCACGCCAAACCCAGTTTCCTCAAACGCCCTAGCAGCCGCAGCGAACAAGAATCTAAGACGAGTTGCCAACAATCCATGACCAGAAAATGTAAAGTGAAGTTGACAGAATGTTGTTGCCGTTGACAATCCCTGAGGAGCGCACTGGCCATTCCCTTGCCCTGTTGAGAAGCTACCCACTATCCAAACATCATTTGGGGGGAGGGAGGGGTCCGAAGAAATAAAAAGATCACTTCCCTAGGTTGGCCTGGACGGATTTCATTTTTCAAAGTGCGCATCCTTTTTCACCTAATGCGCGATATCTGCGAAAAGTAAAAAAGATCCTTTCAAAGTAGCCAAATAACGAGAAAGTTTGGACATACCAGCAACTGTAGACCCGAGGACCATAATCGCTGGCATTTGCCACCTGGTGCTGAATAGTGAAAACCAGTCGAAGCGATATGCGGTAAACCACCAAAAAAGCTGAAAAATACTTTTGAGCAGAGAAAACCTCTTGAGAAAAACGAAAAGATTTGGGAAGCCATTCGGCATGAAAATCCGCTGAGTTATAGAGGAAATTTGAGCTTAATCAAGGCTCTGAATCCCACCGCATCTTGTTCAGTAATGAGTAACGTAGAGAAAGTCCTATTTGCAAAATCGGCAAACGTACATGCATGACAGTCAGTGGCAGAAGAAAGGCAATGTATTTCCGTTTTGTTATCAAAAACCTCTCGAGGAAATCAGCATCATGTGGCACTTCTACATCTGTGGGATCGGCCATTTGTTGCCCTGGAGAAGATAGTATCTTGAAAACGAACCGCTCAAGGACGCAGTCCACTCTTGTCGTAAAGGCGGAGTTAGGCCTACCACTGTATCTTCTCCATTGGTGCGCCCACTTCCTGTGCTTGTTAGACGAAAATGGCTAGCTAATGAGAGAGGGGCTAATGTTAGGCTCGGCTCCGCCCATACAATGAGCTCGGAGTCTATCATAAAACAGCAACGAGAATTAAGAGAAACTCGCCTGCTAGGAAGTACTTCCTAAAAAAGGAACTCCGCGGGTTCTGATGTTCTGAAAAAGAAACTTCGGTGGTTTTTAATATTCACTAGTCATTGACAAGTGAAGGCTATTCTTATTACCTTGCTTAAGTTTTTTTAATGGTTTTCTGGTTACCACACTCCCTTTGCATCCAGGGCACTGCATCATTGGGAATCGCCGAGCGGTTGTACTTATTCGTTGAGGGAAGGGGGGGTCGTGTTTAATCATTGAGCCCTACCAGGCTTTGAAGAGAAAGCTCTCGGAGCAATTTTTACCAGACTGGCGGCGACATAATACTACTGACAGCTACTTTTCCTGATACTACACAAATGCTTTGATGAATGGAATTAGAAGTTGATCGGTGAAAACCCTTCCCCTCCTCCAGCTGGGGAAAACTAGGAAAATCCGTGGTAAAATTAGGGAGTTGGGAAGACTCGGGAAGTTCGTATGCAGGGTTGGGGAATGAGGGATGGAGCGGTCGTACCGGCTGAGGAAGTTCGGGGGGAAAGTTGTGGGAAGGGGAAGCGGTACCGACACCATTTTCTATGCTATACTCTGTTTGCATCAGACTGCACCGTGGTAATTGGTCACCACAATGACGTACAGTCTTGCTTGTTGCGAATGAAGAGCATGTCAGTGAGGTTGCGTTTGTCCGAGTGCCAGCCCGCTCTTCATTTGTTGTTAAGTGGGGGAGGGGGAGGGGACAACTATAGGCGAAAACTAAATGGTATGATGCAGTCTTGCCGCTTGTCGAAAGAAAAAAGTAAAGAAACCGACTGGCACAGGGCCAAACCCATCCCACACTCGCCTCGATCATCCGCGGCAAACTGGCAAGGCCCTTACTATGGCAGCGAAAAATAGGGATGCACTAAAAATGAAGCAAGACTACACCCATGTGAACTGTGCTTTCAAATAACGTACTAAACTGACCTGTACTCTTCGTTATGGAGACATCTGAAGGGTGAACGACAACCATTACGCAGGATTCTCACCGCAAAACTTGTGAGGGAACTGTGCCACTTGGTATGGAATAGGAACTACTGAAAAGCCTGATATAAAATTTTTACCTTATGCTCTACTCCCTAGTATGGAGCTACTCAAAGAACTACATAAAACAGGAGCATAGCGAAATAATTTCTCAAAGCACTTAT